CAAAATGAGCCGGGCGTGGTAGCGCGTGCCTGTAGTTCCAGCTACTTGAAAGACTGAGGCGGAAGGGTCACCAGAACCCAGCAGGTCGAGGCTGCGGTGGCCGGGAGCGGCCACTGCACTCCAGTCTGAGTGAGAGTGAGACTCCAACTCAATAAATAAATAAATAGATAATAAATTTATTGTAGAGATGAGGTTTCGTCATGTTGCCCAGGCAGATCTCCAACCTGCGGACTTTGGCATTTCTCTTGCCTCAGCCTCCCAAAAATGCTGGGATTACAGGCATGAGTCACAGTGGCCTGCTGGAACTTCTATTTTCATTGAATAATATGTCTTGGACATCTTTCCTTGTTAGTACATATAGTTCAATTTTACTCTGTATCCAATAACTCCATAGTATTTCATGACATGAATTTGTCATAACTTATATAACCTTCCCCTATTGATGGACACTTATATTGTTTCCAATTTTTTGCTATTTCTAAGAGTATCTCAATAAATATCCTTATACTTCCATCTCTGTACACGTGTGAGTTAGTTTTTATAGGAGAAATTCCTAAAGTTAGAATTGCTAGCCAGGCATAGTGGCTCACGCCTGTAATCCCAGCACTTTGGGAAGCAAAAACAAGAGGATTGCTTGAGCCCAGGGGTTTGAGACCAGCCTGGGTAACCTGGTGAGACCTCGTCTCTACAATAAATCAAAAAATTAGCTGGGTATGGTAACACACACCTGTGGTTCCAGCTACTTGAAAAGCAGAGGGGATTGTCTGAGCCCAGAAAGTCGAAGCTGTGGTGGCTATGAGTATGCACTGCACTCCAGTCTGAGTGATAGAGTGAGATTCTGACTCAAAAAAAAAAGTAGAAGTGCTGTGACAAAAGGTATGTTTCGTTAAAATTTGGTAGTATTTTGATAAAAATTGTCTAATTGCTTTCCAAAAGTGAATTATCAATTTATTCCTCAACTAGCAGCAAACGAGAATGCCAGTTTATTTATAAACTCATTAACACTTGGTTTTCTCAATCTCTTTATGCTTTGTAATCTGATAGGCAACAAAACTTTAATTGTTTTAATTTATTATTCTTTTTTAAGGCTGAAGTGCAGTGGCACACTCACAGCCACCCCGGCATCTACCTGCTAGAGCCTGGTGATCCTTCTGCCTCAGCCTTCCAAGTAGTGGGAACTACAGGCTCGTGCTGCCACGCCTGACTAATTTTTTATTATTTATTGTAGAAATGAGATCTCACCAAGTTGCTAGGTTGGTCTCCAACCTGGGAGCTCAGGCAATCCACTTGCCTCAGACTCCCAAAGTGCTGGGATTGCAGGCTGAGCTACTAAGCTCAGCCAATTTATGATTTTTATTAGTAATATTAAGCATCTTTCATATGTATATTGGCTATTTGCATTTTTTCTTCTGTGCTAGGCTTGTTTGTATTTTTTGCCCATTTTTCTTTTTTTTCTTTTTTTTTCTGAGTCAGTGTCTTACTCTGTCACCCAGGCTGGAGTGCAATGACACTCTGGCCACCACAGCCTCGACCTGCTGGGCTCTGGCAATCCTTGCACCTCAGCCTTCCAAGTAGCTGGAGCTACAAGCATGCACCACCATGCTTGGCTACTTTTTAAATGTATTGTAGAGACGTCGTCTCACCAAGTTGCCCAGGCTGGGCTCAGGCAATCCTCTCACCTCTGCCTCCCAAAGTGCTGGGATTACAGGTGTGAACCACTGCGCCTGGCTCGACACTGTTGTTTTATACTGTGTTCTATCTGGTAGGATAAGGAGAAAAGGTGTCAGGATTGAGGGGCAGTGGGTGGTGAGAGAGATCGTCCCCATTTGTCACTCATTTTTTCCAACATTTTCCTGGTTGTTTTCTCCAACCCTTCAGACCTATGGAGTCATTCTTAGATGTGCACACACATTGGAAACATTCACCCTCCACACATTGTGGAGAAAAGTCAGCAAAGGTTGACCATGAGATTGGTCCACAGGAGTGTGACTGAGCGCTCTGCCGTTACCCTGGAGGAAAGCCTCTGCAGAGCCAGGGGAAGAATCCTGGGAGCCTGTGGAGAGGGGAGCTGACAGGAGTTCCCTCTGGGACCCAGAACTCAGAGCTAACCTGTCTTCTCCACCCCCAGGGTACGAGGGACAGAATTTGGGGAAGATCCTAAGGGATTTGGAGGCGAGCAAAGTGGTGCATATGGATCGATGGTCTGTGGAGGTGATACCCCAACAAACTGAAGAGAAGAGCGACCCAGTCCCCTTTCAGATCATCAACAACTACTTCTCCATTGGTGTGGTCAGTGGGGTGGAGCTTGGAGGGAGGGAGGAGGTAGGGGCTGAGCAGACTGAGGCTTGAGGAGGTCAGAGAGGGAAGGTGAGGGACAAGGGAGGTGTGACAGGGAAACTGGGAGTGCAGTATGGGGGTGTGAGTTGCGAGAAAAGAACAGGGGCCAGGCTCGGTGGCTCATGCCTGTCATCCCAACACTTTGGGAGGCTGAGGTGAGAGGATTGCCTGAGTCCAGGGTTTCGAGACCAGCCTGGACAATTTGGCAAGACCTCATCTCTACAATAATTCCAAAAATTTGCTGGGCATGGTTGCACTCACCTATATTTCCAGCTACTTGGAAGGCTGAGGCTGAAGGATTGCCTGAACCCAGCAGATCAAGGCTGTGGTGGCTGTGAGCATGCCACTGCACTCCAACCTGGGCAACAGAGTGAGGCTCTGACTTAAAAAAAAAAAAAAAAAGAACTTGGGACTTGCTGTGCCTAGACCGGGCGGGAGGGAAAGGAGGGAGAGGGAGAGAACAAGCTCTGTAGGGAGAGGGAAGGCAGGCCTCTGAGCTCCCGACCTGAACTCTGCAGGATGCCTCCATTGCTCACCGGTTTCACATCATGCGAGAGAAATATCCTGAGAAGTTCAACAGCAGGTGAGGGTAAGCAGGGAGGTGTTGGCACACACAGTGTCAGGGACCAAGCTGGGACCAAGCTTAACTCACGACACCTCTGGGAAATCCCCCAACCAAAGCTCCCCGTGTTCTCCGTGGGACTAGAGTTTGGAAGCTGATGTTTGTCCCCATCACTCGCTACCCCTGCCAACCCCATGTAACCTGTCCCCTCCCTCCTGGGCCTTGTGTTGGGGCTGACACAGAATGAAGAACAAGCTATGGTACTTCGAGTTTGCCACATCTGAATCCATCTTCTCAACGTGCAAAAAACTGGAGGAGTCTTTGACAGTCGAGGTGCGTGTCACAAGACCCCACCGTATGTCCTTTTCAACTCCTCATATCCAAGTTTCTCCCTCCACATGTGCCATTAAGAACTTCCTATATTCCCTGGAACCTATATTTCTTTGACCTCCCAGCTCTGCCACCCTGATTTTCCAAGTCTTCAAGATACGAAAGGCCAGGCCCAGTGGTTCACCTCTCTAATCCCAGCACTTCGGGAGGCTGAGGCAGAAGAATCACTTGAGCCCAGGATTTGAGACCAGCCTCGGCAACTTAGCAAAACCTTGTCTTTTTAAAAAATCAAAAAACTAGGCCAGGCATGGTGGTTTGTGCCTGTAATCTCAGCACTTTGGGAGGCCAAGGTGAGAGGATCGCTCAAGACCAGCCTAGAAAATATAGCAAGACTCCATCTTTTTTTTTTAAGTCAGAGTCTTGCTGTTGTCCTGGCTGGCTCACAGCCACTACAGCCTTGACCTGCTGGGTTTGGGTGATCCTTCCACCTCAGCCTTCCACGTAGCTGGAACTACAGGTGCACATTACCATGTCCGGCTCTTTTTGGTTTATTGTAGAGACGAGGTCTCACCAGGTTGCCCAGACTGGTCTCAAACCCCTGGACTCAGACAATCCTCTCACCTCCGCCTCCCAAAGTTCTGGGATTACAGGCATGAGCCACCGTGCCCAGCCAGCAAGACTCCATCTTTGTTTTTTTTTTTGAGTCAGAGTCTCGCTCTATCACCCAGTCTGGAGTACAGTGGCATGCTTACGGCCACCACAGCCTCAATCTGCTGGGCTCAGGTGATCCTTCCGCCTCAGCCTTCCAAGTAGCTGGAACTACAGGTGCACGCTCCCATGCCCGGCTATTTTTGGTTTACTGTAGAGATGAAGTCTCGCCAAGTTGCCCAGGTTGGTCTTGAACCCCTGTGCTCAGGCAATCCTCTCACCTTGACTTCCCAAAGTACTGGGATTACAGGCTTGAGCCATAAGACTCTATCTTATAAAAATAAATAAATACATATGTACGTGAAATAAAAAACAAAAATAAAAAAATTAGCCAGGTGTGGTAGTGTATGTCTGCAGTCCCAGCTACTTGGAAGGCTGAGGCCGAAGGATCACCTGAGCCCAGGAGATTGAGGCTGCAGTGAACTGTGATCGTGCTACTGCACTCCAGCTGAGCAACAGAGTGAGACTCTTACTCAAGAAAAAAGATACCTTAGGCTGGGTGTGGTGGCTCACGCCTATAATCCCAGCACTCTGGGAGGCCTAGGTGGAAGGATTGCCTTAGCCCACAGGTTTGAGACCAGCCTGGGCAACTTGGTGAGACCTCATCTCTACAATAAATTTTTTGTTTGTTTGTTTGTTTGTTTTTTGAGTTGGAGTCTCACTCTGTCACCCAGACTGGAGTGCAGTGGCCGCTCCCGGCCACCGCAGCCTCGACC